GTGGCTGTCGCTCCCGACGCTCCGGTCTGCGGCCACAGGGTGACTGGGACTTGACTCGTCTCCGCACCCCCACGCCTCATCCCGGGAACCCTGTGCCAGGTCCTCGCATGGGCCCCCAGCCCGCGTGGCACCTCTGCACGCAGCGTGTAGGGCCCCCGAGGCCCGCTCCGTGCCCCTTCCTGCCTGGAAGGTGTCGGGCGCATTCATGGCTGCGAATGCTGGCTCCGTGGCACTAGGCCACACGATACGTCTCTCCCGACATGCTGCAGAGCTGCACAGCTGACAGAGAAAGGAGACCCGTCTCCCTGCCTGCTCCGGCCGGCCCCGCAGCCCTCCCCCAGCCAGGGCCCAGGTTGGGAACACCTCTGTCCCGGCAGGGGTTGCTTCCTATGATTTCTTTTGGCAAAATACCTCTAGTTTCATGGAGTTTTGCTCAATTGACACCCACATGCCTATTTGGTGGCCTGAGTCACAGTTGTGGGACTTGCCCCCCATGGGTCTGTGTGACGCGGTGAAAACTGACAGGGCTTCCTCTGCGGGCGGTCGCCCGAGCGCTGTGAGCCAGATAGCTGCTGCCAGGAACCCACCTCCCGCGGTGAGGGGCAGCCAGCCCTCCACCTGGGCCGGCCTTCGCAGGAGCCCTCAGGAAGGACACCCAGGGGCCCTGAGCCTGGTCTGGGCATGTCCCTGGACCTGGCCTCAGGACCGTCGGGACGGAAAACTCGCTTCAGGAAGGTCTTTGGTGAATGCCAGTCATCACATCTGGGGTCCAGGATAGTCAGAAGGGACCGCGTCGCAGGGACCGTGCGGCCCTGGGTGGAAGGGTGACCGTGTACCAACCGCGGACAGCAACCCCACTGCTTGGGGACTGCTGCGTAGACCCCCTTGCTTGTCTTTCCGCACGTCGAAGGTTGTCCGTGGTCTCTCCTGTTGAGCAAAGGAGCTGCCTTTCCGACAGGTTACACCCTGTTCTGGGCAGCTGCTCCCGCCATGTGCTCTGTTTTAGGACACGCTCGCAGGGTAACTGAGCTTCCGATGGGCTCTGAGATGGAAAATGAGTCCTTGGCAGTTGTCCAGAGGGAAAGTGGTCATTTTGGGAGATAGTGATGGTGCTGCAGCTAAGGGGGCAGTGTGCGGGGGGTGCGCGACACCCTGGGGACAGGTGGTGACCTCGGAAGGGGAGGCGGGGCCCCGGTTACTGTCGTCTCCAGTTCTGTCGCTCACTTACGTCCTTTCTGTGTGACTGAAATCCTGGAGACACTACAGATTGTCCCATGACGTCAGTGATCCGCAGGGCTGAGTTAGGCAGGTCCCGTCCACCTTCATACCTGGGCTTCCCAGTCCCACTATCTCTCGAACCATCGACCGCAGCAGTGCTCAGACTCCAAGGGTAACCTGACCTTCCGACCAGGCCACGCCTACTCCACCTGCTAGGCCTGTGTTGGGTACGGGGGCCACACAGAGACAGGAACACGGCAGGCTCCTCCGGCCGTGGCTTCCCCGCACCCCTACACTGGACGTCTTTGCTTTCAGGGCTGACCCTGGAAGGGAAGGCTGCGGTTTTCCCCGGGCTCACAGGATCGTCAGCGCAGACGGAGGGAAAGCAGAGCCTGCCCGCCCTGGTGCAGTGACTGAGGAAAGCAGGGTGTCTCCAGGCCTCGCACTGGGACAGCCCGGTTCAAGACCTCGGCCCTGTGCACGGCAGCCAGCCAGGCGCACACTCCAGCCCAATCACCCCAGTTCCCGGTCTCCACCAGACACTCTCCAGCCACACGTGGGCACAGGCGTGTGTAGCGTGTCCGGGATTCCTCCGTGCCATGTGTGTGACAACACTGGTGAGCGGCACTGCCTGGCTAGCTGTGGCGAGGCCTGATCTGCACCGACGGGCAGTGTGGAGGGATGCCGCCAGGGGTGCCGGGGGCAGGTGCGGGGCGGCCCCTCCGCGTCCCGGCAGGCAGACCCAGGGCTGCACGATGCACCTGCTCAGTATATGCACGTTTAGACTGGACGCACACCCACGTCAACAGACATTCCCTCTGCAGGGAGGGTGACGTGTGAGGACAAGACACACTCACTGTGACCTTAAACGCCCCTCGTGGCTTCTCTGCCAGCGCCAAGTCACGTGGATTCAGGTACCGGGTAAGCGGTTTCCGTTTCTGCATGTGTGCGATCTCCCCCAGGCCTGTAGCGACTCCTGCACGGCGAGTTACACGTCGGCTGCAATGTGCGCGCCTAGTCATGGAAGCCTTCCACGCAGCTCGAACTCCCCGAACACCGCAGTGGGGTTTAGAGCCAGCGCTGGGACCTGCCGCTCACACATCGATAAACAAGGCAGCGAGGAGGTCATGTTTAGCCCCAATTAGATCATTGCAGCTCACGAAAAAATCCCTCCAGATTAAACAAAACGATAGAGAAAAGCAATTAAAACGGAGGCAATTAAAACAGAGGGCGGCAGCCGTGTCTGATGGGGCGGCTCCTCTGCGCTCAGCGGGCCGGTGCGGCCTGGCCCTCGGGGTCTCCGTCAGGTCAGGGTCGGACGCAGGACCGCTCACGGAGAGTGGGACCCGTCACCGAGAACAGCCGGCGCAGTGGACCCAGCGGGGCGGAGGGCGGGACTCCCTGGCTGCAGGGCCTAAGGCCATGGTACCCTCCATTCCCCTGCCCAGTCCTGCTCAGACGTGGTCCCTGCGGAAATGCTAGGTCCCTGCCAAGCGACAAGGGCGTGTGGAGGCCCCGGACGAGGGCCAGGTGCGCCCTCTCACCCTCCTTCCGCAGTTACTGAATACCGTTGTAGAAAAAGGCCGGAATCAATTCCAGTTAATTTTGCTAGCAATGCCAGGCTTGAGCAGGGGAGTAACTCCCCGCGTCGACGCCCGGAGGGCG